GACTCCTAGGTCACTGAATGTGTTTGGTTCCATGCCAGTAACCAGCCATGTGCTTGAAGAAATTGTATTCCAGAGAAAAATTCATGTCTCATACAAAGACTTCCTTTATATAGCTGTGAAACTTGGGCTTCCCCAGATGTCATGGCTCAATGGACTTTATCAGTGTTAAGAATCCTGTTAAAATCAAATTATTGCTAAGTCCTTGAAAGTAACATTAAGGAATATGGTGTAAAGAGCAAGGCTTTGTGGATAGAAATATCGAGATTGAATATGAACCTAGATATTTCTAACTTTTGATAGCTGTATGACTTTGGGCAACTTCTCTGAGCTTTAGTTTTCTCATCCATAAAAATATGGAGAATAATTCCTATTTTATAGGATTTGTGTGTAGACTGAATTAAGTGTTATAAGCAAAATATTTAGCACAACTTAGGAGCTCAAACAAACCATTTCTATTCCCTTATTCTGCTGAGAGTAGAGGCTGATTTAGAAAACCTGTAACTGACAGCTCAGTGGCTAAACGAAACATCCCAAATCTGTAAACTGGACCATTAAAACAAGGCAATGATACAAACACAATCTTTTTTATTGAAGGAGCCAAATTGGTTATAACCTTTAGAATTCCCACATGCATATTTTTAACCAATATTGATATGCAATCATACAAAATGTATTGTGTCGTTTTAGGGTACTAATTAGTCTTTCTATCTCTAATTAAGGGAAAAGATTTTATTTATGCCCAGACACCGTAGTGCTTCCGGGTGATTAAATGATGACAAACATTGAACTGAAAAATGTAAAATTCATATATTCAGATGGTTGCCTATATCCTTAGTAGTCCTGAGTGTTAATTAAACACCTGGAGGCTTGATAGGATTTCTGTTCCCTTTTTTCCTATTTGGTCTGAAATTTTGGTCCTTATACCAATAAACTTGAGTTTAACTATGATCTGTTTTGATTAACAGTGTTCTAACACGCCGTTTTCTGGCTTGAAAGAAAATTCAACACCATTGATTTTTGAAAACTAGTTATTATTATGGATAGAAGATTGATAGATGAAGTTTTTACCTTGAGCACTTTGACTATGTCACCCGACTTCCTTCTGACCTCTCTTGTTTCTGATGAGAAAACAGCCACTGAACTTGAGAGATTCTTTATACAACATGACTTGTTTTTCTCTTACTACTTTCAAGCTTTTCGCTGCATCCTGGGCTTTTAACACTTTGACTTCACTCTCCCATGGGAGAGCAGCCAGAGAAGAGCGCTCCCATGAGGTGGGGACAGAGTCACAAGAGCAGGTTGTGGCTCAGATACCAGACTCTCACTATTCTCACAGTGATGCAGGAGGTTTCTGTGGGTAACTGTTTCTTCCTCTGCTAGATGTCCTTGGGAGAACCTCCAGAGACGTCAAATGATTGGTTTCTTTAATACCTGTACTGAGTGAAATGATTGTTTTAGGGGGAGGTGGGGTCTGCCAAGCTCATCATTCTGCCCTTCTGGAAACCCTGCCTTCCATGCTATGGCCTCTTCCTTGTGAAGGAAGAACAGACTGCAAGCTGTAGCGTATCATGTGACGTATCACGTCATCAATTTTGCATTGGCTTTTTTCATGCCGTTGACGTGTGATTTCATTAGGTTTTGCTTTATTTTGGTTCATGTTACTAGCTCCCATTCCTGAATTTTTCTTCTCTATGAGTTATATCTAGAACCTATCACTGGCAAGACTTCTCGCTTTCTTCCACCAAGACTGTGATTGCTATGCCTCCCTCGCTGGCTTCCGCCTACCTAAGAGAGCTGTGAGTCCTGCTCAGTTACACTTCCGGTCTGCAAAACTCAGCTTCACTGTACAGAAACAGTGTGGTCTTTGCAAATCTATTAGCCTCTCTAAAAATAAATTTCTTCACCTGCAAAGTGGAGTTGATATTATTGATAACTACAAGGATTACTGTGAGGATGAAATGAGGTGAAGTGTTTAGATCACGTCTTGCACACAGAAAGTGTCAGTTAAGTATAAGCCCTTAGTCAATCAGATTTGGATACTGAGATGGACAAGAACATGATACATTATCATGGGGGGGGGATATTTCCTATAAAAATAAATGATTTAATCATAGAAGCACATGTGCTTAAAACATACCCATCTCTACACACAATTATATATGATGAGAAAAAGGTAAAACTAAAAATCAATGACTGAAATAGTCATGACGGTAGAGTGAACAGGTTTTAGACTTCTTACACAAAATGTGGCTGTTTGTTCATCTTCTTTCACCTTCAAATATCTTGAGTTTATAAACAAGTCTGTCCTCCATCGGTTACCAGCCTATTCTCAACTGGTTAATGAAACAATCTTATCTGTTCTTAGCATATATCAGAAGAAGAAATTACTTCTTGATTTCTTCAAGAAAGGTTTTATCTAGCCTTCTTAGGTCTGAGACCCTACCATGCCCTCTGTCTTGCCATCTTCCTGACGTGAGCACACAATTTATATGTTGAATCAACTGGGCACATGAAGTACTTGTATAAATGCCTAAAGAATGTACTTATACAATCTGGGTAATCATTTCAAATAAATGTTAGGTTCACATTTCTCTTTATACACTTGAAGTTCTAACGCTTACAGTACAATCACCAGCATACATCTCTCGGCTGGGAATCCATTAGGGTTGCTGTAAAACCTTGGTGCCTCTCTCTCACAATAGAAAGGAATAACATAGAACATTTACCAACTTCTTACAAAAAGAATCTCTGTCTAGAAATTATGCTTCCTTGTTCTTTTCACGTTTTTATGAAAGAATGGAGAAGAATATGACTGAGGGTCTAAGATGTCTCAATGAATTTCATCGTTTAAATTTTATCCCAAATTTTGAACCAACCATGTAAGAAGAAAAGCCAGGTGAGAAAATAAAACGTGTTTCTTTTAGTTTTGATAGAACTGATGTGGAGAATGTGACCTATGTCTGTGGACAAGACTGATACAAGACACATTTGAGTTCCTCAAATACTAAATCTGACTGTTGGGCTAAAGTTGGTGTGGCCCTGGAAAACTGAAGGCTTCCTCATAGAGGGACCTACTCAGTAAACCTCAGGGAGGGGTGGACCAGGAATAAGGCCTGACCTAGAAAATGCAATGGGGCCTGATCCTCTCCCACCTTCTAAAACTAACCCAGAATCCTGCAAGTGAGACATCTATGTCCAGACCAATTGAATTCACCCTGGAGACCAACACAGTGACTGATTCCTGACCTAGGCTTCCATGCCATGGCCACCTACATCCCTCACAATCAAAGGCCTTTTTCCTTAACTTATTCACCTCCTTTCTTTTTGCTAGAACTCTGTTTCTTTCTTGAAGATCTTAGCTTTTTTCAAAATGAAACTTATATACCATATTTAAACATATAAAGATAGTAAACATTTTGATAGACACTTTTATATGCATTTTCTATATAGGAATACAGTTAATCCACAAGAAAAAAAAAGCATAGGCAATGGGTACTAGTATTATCCCCATTTTACAGATGAGGAAACTGAGGTAGAAAATGGATAAAGAACTTGCACTAGGATACACAGCTAGAAAGCATGGGGCTCAGCTCAAACCGTAAGCTTAGAGTTTTCTTAATCATCACCCTCTACCACCTCTCCAGAGAGAGACTGACAGACAGAAACAGATAGCTAACAGATGTCAGATATAAAAATATCAATTTCTTCAGTGCATCAAATTGCAGTACATATTTTTTTTTGTCATTTAACTTATTGTAGCCAAATCATTGCATGGATAAGGATTCTGAAATAAATTGTGAAATACATAGACAGAGATGATTAAAATAGTAGGGAAGGGGGTACCTATTACTTGATTGAAGCAGAAGTGGATTTTTTCCAGGAAAAGGCACTCATACATTTTCTTTGATTTCATTTTCTGACTTAACAAAATATTTCTAATTTTTACATTACTACAGAACAAAACCATGATTGACATTTTATAATTTCCATAACTGTTTTCATGTAGGTTTAGCAGTAACCAATTTTTTAAAAATTTCTAGCCACAGAAAGGAAGAGTTTGGAAGGCTTAGAAGAAGTCTGTGGTGCTAAGTGTCTCTTCTGTTTATATATTCCCTCCCTTTCTATGCTTTTCCTTATAAACCTGTAACATCTCAGCACTTATGTATGTATTTTAATAGCATAGTAAGAGAAAAGCGTAACCTTATTTACACAGTACTCTTCACGTCGTCGGCTCTTTTCCATCTAGAAGTATGATGCACTTCGGCAGAAAAATACGTGTGTGCAGTCAGGAAGAAATTTCTTGACTACTCAGTGTAAAAAGTGTTTAAAAATGTTATATTTTTAATTAAATCCTTTGACTTCATTCTGTGAGTTTTTTATGCCAATCATCAGTAATCTTCAAAAAAATGTTACACTTACTTTCCCAACTTTGATATTGTTTAAGGAGATTAGGCTGGCTTCTATCACTTCCTGTTAATTGAATCTTGCAGGATGCAGTCATAAACAGCTTTGAGAAGCTGGTATCACTTCAGATCATTTATTACGAACTAATAATAAACTTAGATATTAGATTTTTTTTTGGAAAGTTACTAAAGCTAATTACTCTAATTTGAACCTTAGGAGTTTTTGAATTGTGTGTTGTAAAAATTGATGAATTTAATTGCCTTCTAAAACTCCCACAGGCAGTGCATATCTTTTATGAAAAATAAAACCCAGAGAACTAATAATTTACAATCTCTCTGTTTAGGAAAATATGAGACTGAAGAGTGTTTTCTCTCCAGTGTATGAAAATTCTGAACAAGAATACCCTGTTACTAGGAAGCGGTGAGTTTTGTTAATTAGATCACACCCACCCCAGTAATTCAGGTTTTCCCCACATGCTGACAACAACTTACGTCTTTCTTGACAAAAGCAGAGATAGTATACTTGTGACTAAATAAAATTAGCCTTGAGAAATGGTTATGTCTTCTTAGTCACTAAATACAAAATTCAGTACTTACCTATCTGCTCTGGGGTCAAAAAGGAAATAAACATTCTGAAGCCACACAGGTTTCAGATAAATGAAGACAGATACAAGACGGCAAGTCGCCGCGGCCGTTTGTGAAAAAGGTGTCCCTACGTAAGCTGTAAACAAACAGAAATTCATTGCTAGATAGCTTGGAAAAGACAAATTACCTAGAATTTATGGGAGAGTAATTTCTTTCCTTGAAGTCATGATAATGAATCTCCATTATCCAACATTTTTAGTTTACCCTCGGTCCTCAGAAATTGGAACAATGATTATAGGCACCAGTGAAAAATAGTTTCCATCTTCTTTCTTTGATTCTCTTAGGTACTAGGAAATGGGATTCTCTTTGTGTTCCCCTTTGCTGAGTATAGGATTTTAGAGACATTATTTCCAAAAGTCATTCCCTAATCTATCATTATTAAGTTCTGGAGTAAGAAATTAAAAAGATAGGCAGTTTTCAACTTAAAAGCACAATATGGCTCCAAACATTATCCTTTGATTTTGCTTTATTTAAAATTTTAAATGTATTTTCTTATAGAAATCACATTATAAATGTCACCCACTTCTCAATTAAAACCATAGAAGCTTACTCCATAAGATAGCCAAACAATAAACATACAGATTTATAGTATCAATAATATAGGTTAAGTTCATCATCTTATATTACATTCTTCTTTTTTTTTAACTTACTAGCACAGCCCAGAACTTCTTTCAAATAAATACCCATAAGAAACTCTCACAAGGGAAGGCATATATGCAGATGATCTTGCTGGCATTGTTTGTAATACTGAAAACTTGGAAACCACACAAATGTCTATCAATAGGTGAGTGGAAGTAGATACAGTTCCACGGTAGTGAAAGGAACTAGATATATACATAGTTATAAATTGGAATATTTATACAATGGAATATTGTACAAACTTTAAAGTAAATGAAATAAATCTACATGTATCACCATGGATAAATCTTAAGATGTATTGTTGAGAGGAAAAAAGCAGGTTGCATAATAATACATGTAGTATAAATAATATGAAACATGTAATTGAGATAATGTTTGGAACCACCTGAAATGGTATATATTTTGATCGATATGTATATATGTAGTAAAGGGCTACAAGCACGACATTAAGAATGCACACTCACTTGGGGACACGTAAACTCTAGAGAGGATAGGAGGCTAGTAAGTTTTAGACTGGAGGAGATAGAGTTCCAAAGATACATGCAATATTTTAAAATTTCACCTTTCAGGCAGTCCATGAGGTCAAAATTATTCTCCTAATAATTCTAAAATGTTAGTCTTTTTCATCGTGTTAACATTTGCACAGATGGCACATAAACAATGGTGAGTAAAGCTGCTGGCACCTTCGCGTGATTCAAGGCAGTGGCACCAAACTGCACCTGTAATCACAGGTCTGCGTTCACCATAAAAGTCCCAAATTTACTACCAAATGCCATTTAAGAAGACAAAATTTCATTTTATTACATCTCAGATCTTGAGTAGATGTACTTTTCATATGACATGTGATAAAATGGAAAGTTCACAGAAAGGACTTCTGCATTCCAGAGACTGATGGCTGTCTTGAAGAAAAGCGAGTGACTAATTGAACTGAGCTTTTTATGGAGCACCACCCTTATTGGTAAGAACCATCAGCAGATACACTGTAGTTACTCAGACTAGAGCATTTGGCAGACTTTTTTTTTTTTTTTTGGAGCATCAGTAAAGGTGAGCCTCTTATTTTGAGAAAAGCAACAGATCATATTTGTTATCAATAATAAAATTTTGCTTTCAAGAGAAAACTCAACTTTTGGAAAACATATCTGCCACCATAAAGCTTTTCAGCTTTTCAATCCTTAACACATTTTCCAGGATACGTAGTGATGATATAACAAATGTGATTTTTAAAGTAGTATAATAAATTATGTCAAAATTTAGAAGATCCATAAAACTCCAATGACCAGTACATGATATTATAAAATCTTGCATGGACAAAACTTCCACACAAGATACAAAAACTGACCAATGGGTTTTAATGTATAACAGATTAAGGAAACTTCCTCCACATTATGTCAGATAACACATTGCAACTAACCTCTAAGAAACTACCAATACTTTTAGTGTAATATTACTACCATCTGAAAGGTTATGAAAACACTCCTTTCTTTTCCAAACATTTACAATATACTAAAAACAAAACAACAGATAGCAACAGATGGAATACAAACAGGAGAATCAGGCTGCATTCTATTAAGCCAAACATTAAAGTGATTAGCAAACATGTAAAACAATGCCTTTTTTCTAATTTTTTTTCTTGTTTTGGAAACTACAAAATGTTTTAAATAAGAAAAGGAGGAAAAGAAAAGAAAAAAAGCATCCATGATGCCATCACCCATGTATAATCACAGCAAACAGCTCAAGACATTTGACTTCAGACACTAGGCTTTTAGCTTTGACCCTCATGAATATGTGTCTTCCTTCCTCCCTAAAGGTGTCTCAAGTACCTGCTATTGGCTGATAGGGGAGGAGGCAAGCGATGGTCTTCTTCAAGCAAGAACACACAAAGACACACACATATACACATACACATTATAACCGCAGGTCATCATGAAAGATGCTAACCATACAGAGTTCGTGGAAGCATCAAGTGTTGAGTATTGCAAAACCCAATTTCACTCCCTTCTCCTCGAGTATTTAAATGAGTTTAAATTTTATAAATCTGTCCCATATTCTTGCTATGTGTTCTCTCAACTGGTACAAGGTGCCCATGGAGTATTCCATAGGGAACCTCTTTTGTATTTTCACATATTATGGGATTTTTTCCCATTTCTATAGAGCCTTGATCCTTTTGCTTTCCCTACATACACACACACACACACACACACACACACACTTTCCTTGTAGTTGTGGAAATCTTCACTAACTTCTTCTTTCAACCCCTACCTCCTCTTCCAGTGACTGAGTTGGGAGAAGTGCCATTTTCCTTTGTTCTCTGTATCCAAAAAGGGAAGGAAGGAAGGAAAGGATGGAGGGAGGCAGCTGGAAGGGAAAGAAAGTCAAAATAAAAAAAAAGAAAAGAAGTGCTTTCTTGATTTCTGATGGGGGAGGGGCAAGAAGAGGCATCAGTCCTTCCACACACTTTGCTGAGTGGAATACTTTGCCACTTAGCAGAGGAGAGTGGCAAATTTCCCCCCATTAGCTACTGGGTAAGGAGGAACTAGAAACTCTAAGTAGGCACTGCAGACTGTGCTCCATGCAGTGTGAATCCAGCAGAAAGTTACCCTCCCCAAGTATTTCTGGCCTTTCATTGTATCTAAGATCCTAGGAGAGGGAAGATAAGATCAAAGGGTACAACCTTCCAACTATAAATTAAGTCATAGGGATGTAGTGGTGTGGATAGCCAATAATACTACATCGCATACTATTTTGTTGCATCGTATATTGGAAGTTACTAAGAGAGTACACCTTAAAAAGTCCTTATCACAAGAAAAAAAATTATAACTATGTATGGTGACAGATGTTAACAAGATTTACTGTGGTGATCGTTTTGCAATACACAGTTGGTCCTCTGTATCCTCTGGCTCTGTACCCCCAATTCAGATTCAACCCCAGGTTGGTTTGAATGTGCAGATGTGAAACCTGGGGATATGGAGGCCTAACCGTATTACACCATTCTATATAAAGGACTGCAGATTTTGGTATCCCTGGGGGTCCTGAAGCCAATCCTTCTCAAATATCAAGGGACAATTGTATAAAACTATTGAATCATTATGTTGTACACTTAAAATTAAAATAATGTTATATACAATTACACTTTTTTTTTTAAGAAACAAAATTAAGATCCCAGGGGAGGGGAGATACCTCCCAGAGTCCACAGTGTCTGTCCTACTTCTTTTTTTTTTTTTTAATGGAGGTACTGGGAATTGAACCCAGGACCTCGTGCATGTGAAGCACATGCTCTATCCCTGAGCTCTATCCCCCTGTCCTGCTTCTGAGCTGTCCCACCTCCCCAGCCTGTCCTCCTTCCTGCTCTGATGCTCCACTCACCAACAGCTTCCTTTTCCTCTGTTCTACCCTTTTCTCTCTACATGTAAGCAGCTCTTTTGCCCTTCTGTTTGTTCTATTTTCCTCAGACCTTACTCATACAGGTGAGATCACTAGGCAACGTTTAACCTGATCCCTGATTTTTGCTTTACTGAATATACACAATGCCCTGCCTAATCTGTTGTTTCCCCTCCTGGATTAGAAGGAGTAAGAAATGAAGAATTAAGAGAGATCGAGGTCAAATAATCTACTTGGGCTATATTTCTTACTAAAGTACCCTTATTAAACAATACATTATCATGGATATATAGAAAACGTATACAATGCTTTATTTAGAAGTTTTATCAATATTTTTAGATCATCCTTATGTAGGTCATGTTTTAAAGTTCAATTTCAGCGATGAAATTATGTTTATAAATCATTTGAAGAACACCTATTAAATTCTGACACTCAGTTCTATAATGACAATGATGACTATAATTATTAACAACTCATCTTCTACTAGGATAGTGATTTTATACTAAGTAGGCGAGGAATGAAAATCACATTTTGTACTCATCACGTTGTATGTAAAATATAATAGTAACAAGACAGTTGAAATCAATTTGGTAGGCATCCTAAAACAAAGTTTAAAACACTGACTTGAAATTCATTTCTTCAAACATTTTCATTCATTTTAAAGCCAATTCTGATAATCACCTAGTTAATTCTGTTATGCAAAGTTTCTCACGAATATAGCTAAATTTTCCCAATCCTAGGAGATTTTATTGTAACCGATGTTAAAATAGTTACAAATAAACCGGCTGCCACTGTGCCATTGATTCCTTCTGTTTCCCACCAACAGTACACTTTTCCTTGGAGTGTTCATGTCTCCCAAATCCTTAACCACGTGGCTGGGAAGGGAATGACTCCCATGTCTGGCTTTTGAATTAAGCCCTCCATGACATGTGTACAAGCTATGGAAATTGATCTCCTTTTACAGGGTCTGCCTTAGCGGTGTGAGGCTTGCCTTAACCATTTTGTGACCAGAAAGGGAGCCACTGTGTAGAGCCTGAGGAGAAAGCTAACAGGAGTGGAAGCAGAGCAGAGAAACAAAGAGAAGCCAGATCTTGATGATACTGTTTAAACAGCTGGCTGCATCAGTCATGACCCAGAGCTCGCTGTACACTGGACTTTTAAGATAAAGCCAGTATGTATCTTTTTGGTTCATTTGCTTGTTTTAGCTGTTTGAGTTTTATTTTCCATTGCCTGTAACTAAAAAATTTCCAACTGACATAGA